TTGCAGAGTGGAGAACACCAGCCTGTGCAGTATGTTGCACTGGAAACATTTTTACTGTGTTCTTACGTAGAGTTTAGATAATGGTTGTATGAAATGGTCTGGATAGGACTGATCCTGCCTCAGGCAGGGTGCTGGAGTAGATGACCTCTGGAGGTCCCTTCCAGTCTTATTTCTCTATGATTATGACTAACATTTATGATGAATCATCACATTCTGGTGGGGAAAAATGTTTTGATGGAATTTTTTCCAATTACTTCTAGGAATAATGAAGAAGGCGGTTACAGCCTGGCAGCAAACCCCTAACACACTGCCAGTAGCCAGTCTGCTGTAGTTGGGCTCGTGTGACTTTTCAGCCTGTGGAGTCAGGGCAAATTTTAGGCACTGTCCCTACTTCTATCCTCTAGCACACACTCCCAGCATACCTGCTTCGTATCTCCACAGTCCTTGGGATGTCAAGCACTCTGGATTATAGTTTAATTCTTTGGGGAAGCACATGGGAATTAAGCAAAGCTTGTACTCTTTGCTTTAGAAACTTCTTAAACATATATTTTCCTCATAGACAACACCACACTTTACTCATAGCTAGCACGTATTGAGACAAAACATAAAACTCCTCCACACAATCGCCTTTGGTATGTCTGATTTTTTTTCAGGTCTTAAAGAAATTCAGGTCCTTCTAGCCTGCTCTCTTCATGTGATAGGGAAGGCTATAGACTGGCCAACCCTGTTTACAAGTTTGGCTCATTCAAGCAGTCAGTAGCATTTTTTGTTCTTTGTTCATGGGACTTTCCTTGCTCCTCGCTATGTGGAGTTGCTGGAAAAAAGTTGTTAAAAGTCAGTAGTTTTACCTGTAGCAACCCCATTATTCTATCAGGACAGAAAATCTCTGATGACCTTGTTTCAGCTATTTTCCCCAAAATTGCTTTTTTTTCTACTGTAAAATAGAAGCTCTAATTCAGGGGTCTGCAACCCCCAGCACGCGTGCCAGAGCATGGTATGTGAAGGCATTTTGCCTGGCACGTTGCACCACAGGGCGAACGGTGAGGGAACCGTGAGGGGCCCAGTTCTTGTTGTGGCAGCACAGCCTCTTCCATGCTGCCTACCCTGAGGTGGGTGTGCACCCACCACCAGCAACGAGCTAGGCCAGGGCTCCACAGACCCCAGTGCAGCTGCTCATAGCTTCTTCATTGCCTGCTGCAAGCAGCCCAGGCTCTGTGGTGGGCAGCAAGGACCTGTCCAGTGTCCGGGCCAGCTGTGACAGGCAGCCAGGAGGCTGCAAGCAGGTGCACCAGGGTCCATGGAGCCCCAGCCTGGCTTGTTTCTGGCAGCAGGCACCTCAGGGCTGGTGCTGTGCTGCCACTGCAAAGGTCAGACTGCTTGCAGCTCCCTTGCTGTTCGCTCCACCACACCAACATCCTACAAGTCGATACTGTGGGTGTTTTTGGCACTCTTCCTAAAAATGTTGCTGACCCCTGCCCTAATCTACACTTAAAATTACAACATAAATGTTACCCATCAGCAAAGAGAAATTCATAACTAAGCACAGACATATGCTGAACACATGGATATTAGGCTGAGAGTCCAGGTGTTTCCATTGGTTTCCATTATCTGGCCTGGCAGGTCCCCTGTATCTTCTAAATGGGACCACAACAGAGAAGAGGAATGTACAAACACCCCCTTCACCTGTGGCAAGTCTCCTTTTTTTGCTTCCTTCCAATCTGTGCTCAAACTCCACCTTTATCCCCTTAATTCCTACTAATACCCTCAACTCTAGATCTACTTCTCTCTCTCAACCTCACTTCATTCTTAATGAATAATTGTCCAGAAATTGTCTGCTTTGCAACTACTTAGGATCTCTCACAGAAGCATTGTCAGTTTTAACCAAGTTGGCCATCATATACTGTGTTTGTATGAATGTAGGACATTTAAATTAAACAGGTTCTGTGCAGTAGCTTGTCAGTATTTGTCTTGAATTGTCACGTCTGATGTTACAGTCTTAGAATGTGGCATCATGGCAAGGTGCTGTAGAGATGATTGTGAGAGACACGGCATCTTAAAGCCACTGACAGAATCCCTGTAAAGACATGATGGGATCTGATCCCCAGTCCCAACAACTGCCTCCTGCCATGCCACACGTGCATGGGAAGACTTGTGACTTTGAGTCACACTATCGCACCATACTTGCCAGTGCAGGAGGATCTTGGGATCATGATCAAGCACTTCCTCTTCACTGACAAGTTGAAATCCAGCCAGGAGACTGCACTGGGTTCGGGAACCAGGCTTATGTGATCCCCACCAGGCTGACAATTAGTTAATTGTTGGTGCAACAGAGACTGCACCAGGGCTCATTCCAGACCCATTTCTCCCCTGACCTAGCTGGCCAGAGTTGCTCCTCTGTACAGGGTTTAGAGCCCCGAGCAGGTAAAACCAAAGGCTTCCACCCTGTTGGGAGCCTCTGCTTCCCCACAGTGGGTAGCCCAGCACAGGTTTAAAGTCCCAGTGCAGGGGAGCATAAGCTACTGGTGGGAGGGAGAAGTTTTCCTCTGCTGATTTTTAAACCCCATGCCAAGCAACTCTGGCTGGGCAGCCTGGTGTGGGGAAGCCTCTGGTCTCCCCACACCAGGGGCTCTGCTCCCTGTATCACACTGCCCAATCAGAGCTGCTTGGCATAGCATTTAAAGCCCCAGTGGGGGGGAGCTTTTGTTTCCTAGTGCTGGACAACCCAGCCGGGGTTGCTTAGCACAGGGTTTTAAAGTCCCCAGTGGGGAAAGCTCTTTGGTTTCTGCCCTTCCTGGCCTATGGCTAGGCCAGAAATCAGCTGATTGTCAGCTACTGGCCATATGTTAAACTTAAGGCACCATAGAAACAAGCTATAAAAATGCTCTGCATTATATGTAGAGCACCTTTCCCATTTATGCTGCAATGAATACTTTAATTGTGACACAAATATAATGTGTAGAACAAGCCTCAGAGACGGAGATCATGTTTACCTGCAGGCATCCCTAGAAGTAAAAAGGATGCATGTTCTCCCCTCAAAAATATATTTAACCTAGATGTCAAAAGATGGAAAGACCCTTTCAGAGAGGCAGGTTTAATCCTGTGTATTACTAATTTCCTATCCCCCCGGTGATGGGTGGCAAACAAGGGATCAATTAAGTTCACCTTCCAGGTCGCCCAGGAGCTCCCAGTCAAAGGCTTGTTCTAGGGGCTGTACACATGCACTTTTAAGGAAGATGATAATACGGTGTCTTTAAAAATCTTGGCAGGGAGCTCCTGCCATGTGTAAGAGGGATGAAAAAAGCACCAGTAGCTCTGTCTCTCAGGTCGTTCTGTGGATGTACTTACGTGGCATCCAAGTGCTGATGATGGCAAAATGTTCTAAACAGAATGAATCTGAGCTGCAGCTGGTGTTGGGGGCTTTAAAGCAGCCACACATTAAAACAATAAACACACTGTAAAGAATAGACCAGGTTGTTTCACACAGTCTTTCAAGAAAAACAGACTCATCTACCCCCTTACCAGTGAAAACAATCCTTGCAATATCAGGACACTGGCCCCCATTGTCCCCCTACTTTACCTACAGCAAGTTAGGGTACCATGCTTTGTGGTTGTATAACAGGGTTGCCTGTGTGGTTTTAGCAGTAGGTTAGACAAGGAGTTGCTTGGGATGGTTTGGATAAGGATGATCCTAAGTCAGGCAGGGGATTGGACTAGATGGCCTCCCAAGGTCTCTTCCAGCCCTATTTTCTGTGATTCCTCAGTGTCTGTTGCCTTGGAGAGTGCATACTGGGCACTGAGATCCAACAGGGATGAGGGCCTAATTTTAGATACATAAACCAGCCTCTCCCCCTTGGAGATGGTCCTGTGCAACCTTTGATATTTGTTCCCAACTGCCTTAATTTTCAGCCTAATGTAGGCATGCTAGATCACTATATAAGACAGCCCATGCGTGCCCATGGGTGACAGACCAGCATACTAAGATTTCTTATCTCCAGAATGGAGAGAGTCAACATCCTTCCTTTATTGTAGCGAGATAATGATTTCATTTTTGTTTCACTTTCTTCTTCATCACCAACATTTCTTTTGTCCCTCTTGCACTTAAGACATGTTAATTTCTGCCTTTGTCTCAGTTGTAGTTGTTTTCTTTCATTGTCTTTGCCGACTAAAATGAAACCATCCTCAACAGGCACATATTAGAGAATTAACATCATAGTGGAATCTGGAATGAATGCAGCAGAAACAGCTGCACTGCTGAAGGGACCACCAGAGAAAATAAAAATATTATCCTAATTTTAAATGGCAGCAAGGATTTCAAAGTGCTTTGGAAACTATAGGCCAGATACTAACTGCAGCGATTCCAATGGTGTTTCTTCAGAATTAGACCTCAGTTTACAAACTGAAATCAATGGGACCCTGTAACAGGGGGTGCCTCTATGCAAACGGGGAGACTGCTCTGATGTCCTGTAATTACAACACATTGGAGCAGACTTAAAGAACATCAAGGTGTGGCAGGATGGGAGGGAAAAAGGAGGGTGAGAAGCAGGAGCTGTGCGGCCACCAGGGGATATCACCACCACCTCTAGAGCACTGGTCCTATTACAGACTCCCAGGTGCATAATATTAGGCATGTACTTTGCTGGAGGTAAGTCTTACAATTTTTGATCAGACTCTGGTCCTTGACTGGAGAAATGTAGAAATAACTTTATTCACTCCCTATTTGCAAGTAGTGCTGTAGTGGCACATGTAGCAATAGTATACAAAATTACATAAGAATACAAAATCCTGTCCAGCTCGAGCTCCAGGTGTTTTATGGAGTTAGTTGTTGGAATCTTTGCCCTTGTTTTAAAGGAAAAAGGGTTCTTTGATACCAGCATCTGGGAGCTTTACATCATGCCTAGAAAATACCCTAACATCCGGTCTGAAATGCAAAACTCTAAAACTCTTCATTCAGAGATTATATCTTTTATTAGACCAACTAAGAAATTGCAGAAAGTTATCTTTCTTTGCAAGCGTTAGGGCACATGCCCCTTTTTCAGGCTGAGGGAAAACTAAAGATAGTAAAAGTCCCTACAGGTTGTCTGTTCCTCTGGGTCCATGAGAGTTACTTTGTGTGACTTGCTCTTTGATGTACAGATAAGGCAGTATTTCTTCCTTGGTGGTGTCAGATGGCAGAAAGGCAGAGAGGTGTAGAAATCTTCCTTTGTTGTTTAGCAGTGAAGTTTATCATTCCAAAATTGACAAAAAATTGGCATCTGTCATGTTTCAGGGATGTATTTGGTAGCTGTGTTGGTCTGAGACAAAAAGAAATGCAAAACTCTAAAACTCTTGGTTCAGAGATGATACCTTTTATTAGACCAACTAAAAAAATCACAAAAAAAATCTTTCTTTGCAAGCTTTTGGACACACACACCCTTCTTCAGGCTGAATTTTTCCCAGAAGAAGCTGAAGGTGGATGTCTTTTCCTCGGGGTCCATGAGGGTCCATCAGGTCAGCACTTCAGTCACGATGCTCAGAATCCTGTTCCCTTTGAGGGACTGGACTGCCATCTCCTTCATTCCTTGAAACATGCTGAAGTTTTATTGGAACTTTAGCACTGACCAGCCTAAACTTGCTTAAAAATGTGCGATCTCATGCAGGGACATCACTGAAGAGAGGGACATGACCAAAGAAGAAATTAAGAAGACAATGATTCTAACCTAGAACTGCCTTATGAATTTCACTGCCTTCAAGGAGAGACTGACCATTTAGTTCTGCCTCTTGGTTGAGGAAACCGTGTTTAATGGAAAAAGTTATTACAGTAGAACCCAATTTTTTTGTATTTTGGGGATTCACACCCCAGTTAATTCCTAAAAGGTTGCTGAATTAAGGATGAGCCACTCAGCTGATTGCTGATTTGCTGCAGTTTTTATTTCAAAGGGCACTGCTTCTCCGTTCATCAGGGTTTCCTCACAGCTGACTGGAGAAGTGGTGTCATTTTAAATAAAAGTTGCAGGCAACATCTCATTGGTCTGATACATCTGTTTGCTGTGGCTGTATATACACTAGTTCACAAACTCTTATCTTTGTAGGGGGCAAAGGAACTTGACTGTGTGAAGAATCTGGGTTCTGCTGTACTTACTTCATTATAGTGTACTAGCCAACTGCCTGTCAAGAATGATGGGAGTGGGGGGCAGGTGGGGACAGAGCACCACCACCCACCACCCTGCACCACCGCTGCCTTCCAGGAGCTGGGGGAGAGGGGGGGGAAGCTTGCCCCTCCATCCCCCTCCACCAGCACCCCACGCTGCCACTGCCTCCAGTGCTGCTGGCCCTTTGGAGGCGGTGGAGCACCACCATGACAGCATGGATGGAGCGAGGGGGTAAGTCCAGCAGTGCTGGCCATGTCCCCCCAGTCCATCCCCTCCATCCTTGCTGTCATGGTGGTGCTCCTCACTCTGGTTGTTTCACTAACCAGTGAGCTCCAAGAGTGTTATGGACAGACAGAAAGACAGACTAAGCCCTTTATTATACAAGAATAATGGAAAATCATGACCACCATTTTGTTGTAGAACCTGTAGTTTCTTTCTGCTCCCCACAATTTCCATTGTTCTTCTGTCATAATTTTTTACAGGGATGACACTCAATTGGTGAGGGAGAAATGGAGTCTTCACCCCAGAAGAGACAAACTAAATGCTCTAAAAGGCTGTTGCCATCTCTACCAGGTATGATTATGAGCTACTTTACACTTTGCATTTGTTTACTGATGGCTACACTGTAGAAGCATTTACTTTCCCAAGCCAAATTTCAGTTCTTATAATCAGTTCTCTGAAAAGTTAACATTTCAAATTTCTATTTGGGAACACACTGAAAAAAATGAAAGTATTCTGTGAAATGAAATGTTTGAAAAAAAGAATGTTTAGGGTTAATTTTTTTTCATTCAACTTTTAAAAAGCATAATGTAAAATATAAAATTATTCTCAAAATGAAAATTTGTTCAGAAACAAAACAATTGAAATAGCCTTTTCTGATGTTATTAAAGTGTTTAATTAATTTTCCTTTGATATTTGGTGACTTAGCACATTCATGAGGCAAGTTTTGATTTCAAGGAAACAGCATTTCCTAACAGAAAAATATTCTTTTGAAAAATTTCAACCGGCTCTGGTGTTGACATCAAATTAGAGATCTCTGGTGTTATTATGAAGCAATTATTAGTTATTTCTTCATTAGAACCTTCATCTCTTTCAGTCTCTGTTGTGGATCTGGGAAATAGAGATTAAAATATGTAATAATTAGCATAGTAGAGTGTAAAAGAGTAAACAGTGATGCAGCAAAAAGAGCCGGAGAACGCCGCTTCTGAAGCTATTCCCATATTAGGATAGAAGCTCCAGGAAAAAAAAAAAGAAAGTGGAGAAGGGAGTGTCAGAAAGGGAGAAGAAAGAAAGAGCGTCTGAAGGAGAAAGTGAGGGAGAAAGAAGATCTCCAGGAGATAAGACACTTACCTCAGGATTTTTCTCACCGCTGAGACAGCGGAGCTCTGAGAAAGAGGAGTGGATCCCTGAAGAGGCACTGGAGACGCGGCTGGAGCCCTGCTGAAAAGTAAACAAACAAACAAAAAAAGGAGAAGAGTGAATTGACTCACTCCCACAAGCTTAGTGAAAACAACTGAGTGCTGACCACAAGGATTCAAGGCTTCAGGCATGCACCAGATGAAAGGTACACACTCAGGATAGCAAAAATAAAGAGAGAGAAATAACAAGACTTGAAGAGAAAAGCATGCTCTAAAAACAAAAAAAAAGGAAGTAAACGGACAAACCAGAGTTAAAGGGACTTTGTTTATTAACACCAAGTTCAGTCCAACCAAACTGATAAAGGTTAAATAAGAACACTATGTAGATAGAATTACAAAGTTGATATAATTGTTAAAAAAAAGGACCACTTTTGTTTAAAGATAACGGAAGTTTGTATAGTGTTATAAAGAATAAAGATAAAGACAAGTGTTAATCTGCATCTGATTGTGAATATATATATCGGTGAGTGTGTGGGAATAATCGAGAGTTTTCCTGTATAATACTGGGATTCCTAATAGGGACACCCAAAGTGCAAAATAAAACAACAAATATATATATAACAACCCTCCTGATGAGTGACATCAT